CTGTACGCGCGATAATTTTATGGCCAGAGCTACTTTCATGGAAAACTTTATCGTCAACGATGTTGCGTCACGAGAGCTCGATCGAGATCCTCTCCCTGCGAGCTATGGATCTCTCTCTCTCTCTCTCTCTGTTCGTGTACTATACTACTTTTGGTAGAATACGCCGTTTCTGCTTGCATTTTTTCCTACCTTTGGAAATGTGCAGGTTGGAAATTTGCACGAGTGTGTTCAGGATTAGCGAAACTGACGGTTTTGTACTAAGAATAAACAGGTTTCAGTAAGGATTTTGTTACAGCAGATTGTGCGATATTTTGTAAAAATTTACTATTTCATTAAAATTTAATTTGATGTTTAAATAGATAGACTCGTTTAAATAAAGCTTCAATGAAAAAATATGAAATATTCGTGTGGCTTAAACGGATAAAATCGAGTCTTTTGGGGTTTGATTTTAGCGAAAAAATGTGGAACACAGATTTTTGCACGATTTGATGTATTTTGAATTTTTGAAATTGACAAGTTCAGGAAATAATGTTCGTTACCAAGTATTTTCAGTTTAAAAATATGTACCGAGATATTTTTTCGTGAATGATTTAAAACTAAACTGAGAAATTTCAGAGAAATAATTTGAATTTTTATCGGTTCACCTTACATTGTCTTCCAGAAGTTTTGAACATATTCTACTATTTCGAAAATGATTTTTTTACAATGAAATTTTTCGCCGTTTCGGAAAAGCAAAAATCTGCCGACACTTTGTTTATTTTACCGTCCAAGAAAAATAACGTCCGTTTCGTAACTTGGTAGAAATGGTCAAACGTGTGTTTAGCTGAACGCAAAAATAGTGTAATATCGATGCAGTTGCAATACTATTCACGTGCAAAGTTTCATTAGTATCATATAATAATCACGTGATGGTTTAGCGAGCGAGTTTGTATTATCAATACGAGTAGAGGAGAGTCGAAAGCATAATAAACTCCGGATTGATAAGTAGGTAGTATAATACAACATCGTCGCTAAATAGTGTAATACTAAAAGCGTATCCTATTATTCGACGTTTTACATTGAAAAACACAAAGAAGTATTCGACGATATCGATACAAAATTGTATTTTAACGAGCACGGTATTTTAAAGTAAAATTAATAACAAAAAAGTAGAGTTTCATTTTGTAACGTAGTATAATCAATAAACTCGACAACGCGATTTATAAATTGTTTCCTTTTTTTAAGAATAGAAAAGAACGTTTAATACCTTCTTTTGAAGAAGAAGAAGAATTTTCATTTATTACTTTTGTTTTTTTGAACACTTTAAATTCTGACAAAGATACTTCAAATCAACAGAATTGCAGCTAAGCATTTGCATTCGAGTGTTCTTAGAACAATTAACGTTTCTAATGTCCTTAGTTCTTTTCTGAATTTTTACAAAAGAATATCTTTATTTACGAGTGTGAATAATATAGAAAACACCGATGAAAATAGGTAAAAAGCAAATGAAGTTACGCTATAAAAGTGGATCCATGCTCGAACACGTAATATCCAAAGTAACTCTACGTATGCATTACCTGGATTAACCATAAACTATCAACAAAACTGACTAATTCAAATAGAACAAAAAAACTCGGTACTTAAAACTGATTTCAAAAAATTTATCCAAACGAACAATGCATATTGCACTTTCAGCAATAAACAATTTCTTATTGAAACGATACACAGCATAGATACATTAAACATTCACATAAAAACAAAAATCCAAAAAGTATCGAAATAATACTAAAACAGTTTCAGTTATTCTTTATCAATATTCATACTATTTTTTTACCATTGAACTGAACGAAGCCAAGGGTGTAAAGCAAATAGAACCTTCTTTAAGAAAAATAGCGAAAAATCTTCATTCCTGAGAAATGACATTTCTTCGAGATAAAATTTTCCTACTAAAAATTGTTCGCGACAAAAAAAAAAGAAATCAGCGACGAAGAGAGGATTGCGTGGCGAAGCTCGCAGAAGCCTTAGCAGAAAGCTTTGAAAACCGGCGTGAACAAGGGCGATCGTGCTCTTTTCATTCTAATTTTACTCACCGTTGCGGCCGGAAGAGTTGGCATGGGCTGTGAGACGGGCTCCAGACCGAGTCTCATACGTTTCGCGTTGTCGCTCTCATTTTCACAGGCCGTTGCCAAAATCTGCTCGGCCTGTACGGAGGTCAAGTGTGCCGGAGTGGGCCTCGCCTAAAAAGAAATGGTACCACGTGATCGTCGCATACCGAAAACTTCGAAAGTTGACTCAGCCATGGGGAATTCGCGGGCTTTTAGCTTGACCTTCCGCGGTTCAAGCCGCGAGGAACATTCCTAACAGGACTCCAAATCATTAATACCGTCGAACACGTCGAGACTTCCTCTCGTGGAATTTTCCCATCTTTCGTGTAATCGGGAAATCGGATGGTAAATACCTGCTGTCGATTATTTCGTCCAACAACGGAGTAGTTTTGACGGTTTTAGTTGGAGGGATTCTAGCGATTCGGTTTTTGTTAAGTTGTTTCCGAGGACTTTTTGGGAATTTTGTGGTGCGAATTGTTTTGTTCGGAGGTAATAGGATTTTTAACGGAGTTTCACTGAATAATTGTGCATTTTTGATATCATTGGTTGGAGGGAGTTTTTAAGGATTCTAGCGATTCGTTTTTTATTAAATTGTTTCGAGTATTTTTGCGGAATTTTTTTGTTTGGTGTCACTGAAGAATCTAATTGCAATGTTAATTATTTGTTTACGAAATAATAGGTTTCTTATCAGAGCTTACAGTACTCGTTCATTTTTGCAAAGAATTGTTTCATTTTTGATATTTTTACTAGTACTTTTATCGAGTGTTTTTGTGGAATTTTATGAATGAAGAATCTAATTGCAATGTTAATTATTTTGCCACGAAGTAATAGGTTTCTTATCGGAACAAACAATACTGATTCATTTTTACTAGTATTTATGCGTTTTGGTGTGTTTAGAACGACTGAAGAATCTACTACTCATTTGCACTATTTTCCAAGGCAGTAACAGGTTCCTTACTAGACCTTACAATGGTGCTCCATATTTAAAATACAATGTAATATTTGATCCAACTCCAGTAAAAAGTAAACTGTACTACCAATTGCACCACAACTTCACAAGTCCGACACGACAGAAATTGTCCCCTTCACACATCATCCATTAACAAATTCCAAAATTCAAAACCGCAATAAACCATCTTTTATGCATTAAAATTACACCGAAACTTAATACTCCGTACCTAATATCACCCGGAAATATCGAAATAAACGCAAACTACAACAGTAACCAAATAAGTACAAGGGGTTACTATTCGAACCGCAAAGGGTTAACTAAAATCTACACACCAATCGACATCCTGAAACACTTCAACCCACAGATTGACACACAAAAAGAATTCATCTGAGACTTACCGCATCCCAGGGTGCACCCTCCCTTCCACGTTTATTCCTCCGACAGCTCTTCAGGTACGTTCTGATCCTTTTCCTGGCCCTCTCCGCGAACTCCGGGAACTGCCTGGTGCAGCTGTCGATGATTGCCTGTATTTTCTCTTTCGGTTGCTTGGAGATTGGCACGATACGGTCCAGGTTCTCGTCAACGAACAGCCTGACGAACATCTGTGAAGACAGGACGGCGGACAGACCCGCCGCGAAATGAATTAAACGAGCTCGTACACTTGGCCGGCGCAGGAATTAAGGAATTCCGCGATGGTGGGGAGGGAGTAGGGTGGATGGAGAACGCTCACCGCGGCCCTCTATTAAACTAATTGTAATTAATTAAGGAGTTGCTCGTTGCTCGCTGGCTGGCCGGCCAGCTCACGGCCATCTGCGTGTCCCGTTTGGATTTTTCAGGCTTCCACGAGACGCGTAGAGCAGAAGAAGAAGAAGAGAAGAGAGGCTTTGCCTTCGTAAAACTTTACGATAATTGCGGCTTTTTCGGGGTCGGCGAAGGGGGAAAAAGGAAGTCGAACAGAGGCTGGCTTAGCTTTCATTTCGAACGCACTCGCCTTGCTCTTCCTCTTCCTGCTGCTACATACACACCTTCTGTTCGCGAACGCGCGAACAACAACTTCGTATCTTTTTACGCGGTTACAGCAGCAGCCCGGCTAATGCCGGCCGCAATAAACTCGCCGTTTCCGGTTTAATGCAGCTGGGAGTAGGTAGGTGCACGGTTAACGGGGGGAACACCGGTGTTACGGTTTCAGGTGTTTCCTCGCCGTTCGTACGGATGTTTAGCGAGGATAATTACGCGAAAACGATCGTTCGTTGGTGATGCACCGCGAGAGTTTTCTTGCAAGACGGTATCGGTGGCTTTGGGGAAATGAAGGTTTGGATTTTTGGCGAGGAGAGCGGTAAACTGCGCGCGGAATAACGGTCGCTGGTAAACGAGTAGTAAAACGTGGGATTAGAAGTTACGTGGGAATTAAGGTGGTTTTGATATTGGGGCGGGTAGAGAGAGTTTGTTTCTTGTGGTCTTTAGTTGGTGAATTAAACGAATGGTTAACCTAATGTATAAATAATTATCTGTGTAATATATTCTTTTCCGTTTTCTTTAAAAATTTCATATTTTAATGTAACATACGATATAAATATTCGTTGTAAACTTTCTCTTTCGGCAGAAGAGTTGGTCAATTCACGAGATACAATTCTCACTGCGTGCAAGTAGATTAGGTTGCAATGCAATGTACTTTCTTCGTGTAATAAAAAGAATGGTTAGAAGTGTACTTAATGTGGAAAACAGCCGGGAGAGAAATTTACCAGACACCTTGTATATCACTGTCCCAAAAATTTTTAAAAATTACTCCCTTCCCGTACGATCATATTTTCCATCCAAAAGAGACACTCGTCCTCCGGTTCAAAACTCGAACGAAAATTTACCAGTGTCTCCCGCCTCTCAAAGTCACGATGAAAAAAAAAAAAAAAAAAGAAAGAGAAAAGGAAGGAAGAAAACTGAAAACCAAAAAGCTCCACTCAGCTCCGCCTCGCTTCATTAATCACGTCGCGCGTCGCCTGCGACAGCCTCGCATATCACCTCCGTCCCGACAAAAAGCAAACGAGAGAGACAGAGAGAGAAAAAAGAAAGGGAATTACGTAAAACGTAACGCAGACTCACGTTGAAAGCCTTCTGGCGCTCCGGGTCGTGGTGTCTGGGGTCCAGCCTCTCGTCAGCATCCTCGTCGTCGTCGTCCTCGTCCTCCTTATTGCCGCTGCTGCTTGTCTCGTCGTGAGCGCTGCCAGTTCCCTCACCGCCCGGCGGGCTGGACTCGCGATCGCGGTCTGACCGCGAAGGCGTCGCGGCGGACGCTGGCGGCGGCGTCTTCTTCAGTCCCATGGCGTAGGAAGCCCACAAGGATGCCATGTCCTCGCCGCCGACTCCGGCCACCGCGCCCAAATTAGGAACGGTCCCGGCGGGCATGTCTACCAAATCTGAAGAGCCGTTTCGCGAGTCTGGAGAATCGAGAAAAAGAAACGACGGTGAATAATACCGCGAATGGCTTACACCGGGAGGAAGAAGTGTTTTATGGGAGAGTTACAGGTAGATGTTTCGGTGAATCGATTAATCTTGAGAGGGTTGAAATATTGCGGTTGCGTAAGTTTGACAACAGCACGGTGTTCGGGTCATTTCCGACCCGTCGTCATTTTATTTGGTTTCAATAACTCTTGCTGTTATCAGGTTTACCTTCTGTCAATGTTATATTGAAAGTTTATTATCTAGAATAGGTTCATATGACGAGCTGGTAATAGAAATTGGTACACATATGGTCTTCGGGTCTTTCTTGACCCAGGCGCCGGAAGTGTCTAGGATTAAGGTGCGACGAGACACTTTTCCATGGAAATTAAGAGATACTTCTCCACCCCTATAAATAACCCCTCTCTGCATACACAATATAACGGGGCGTCGTGCAACAATGTGAAATTTTCGAGAACGATCCCCGGCAACAAAGTTGCAAACCCCGATAACGCGTTCTGCAACTTTGTGTCGCGCGCGCGATTCGCGAAAAATTTGGATTATATTTGCGTATTTGCTTATTATCATTTATTAAGTAAGCAAATATGCTCGAATTTGTATCGTGTTTGTTATCATCTTAATCAGAAAAATGTGACAAATATGTTGGTAAAAAAATTTCATTCGTTACAAATCAAAAATAAGAAAGTAACAGTACGTATTATTATTGGTTTATCCTGCAATTAGTGACGTGTTACCGTTGACTTGGAATATTAATTGTTACTGCATATATCTGTTTACTTAAGTCTATAACAAATATTATTATCAACATTAAACTAGCAACTGTAATTCTTCAACGCTGTAAAATCATACTAACTCCGATTAAAAACAATCATAAGTTAAAAACAAAAATACGCAAATTAAATATCAACGGTAACAAGATTTAAAATTCAAACGAGCATCGCACGGATCATATTAACATCGTTCATCTTCGAATTAACTTTTCTGGTTGTTTCAACTAAACGTTTGAAGCACTTTGAAAGCCGAAAACCTCGTTTTTTTTTGTTTTTTTTTTAACAACATCAATCTTCCCATCGGAAGAATTCCTGCAACGTTCACGAATTACGCGAAACGGTGAAACGAAACGTCCAATCCCGCATTTACATGGACGACGAGTCGCGGCAGCTCGGCATTAAGCCGTGAACTTTTTATCGCCGCATCTAGAACGGCGTCTGTCAACTTGTTGCGCCTAGCCAGCCCGCGAAGACAATTCAAATAACCTCTCTCGGCTTTCCGCAGAACTTGCCCACATCTGGCGATCTGCAATTCCCTTCAAACCTCGATTCGCTCGCTTCTCGGGATCTCACGGAACGATAGATCATTGGGACAACGTGTACCGGGAAACACGTGAATGGGAAAAATTACGTTTCTTCTGCGTAGGTGCACTATTGGCCTCGAAAGTTCGAGATCACTGTACATTGTGAGTTATAGAAAAATTTCAACAGGAAGAAGTTGGCATTTTTTAACGAATTTTTTTATCGTTCATTATCAGTCGAAATTAGGCGAATTGCTGTTGATCTTCAGAACGTCGATTACAAATTTTCGGCTGATAGTAAAATCGTTCCTTTTTTTCAGATATGAAAATTATTATTTTGACAAATATTATCCATCTTTAAAACAAAAATCTCCTTTTCCAAATGTGACAATTATACGAAACGACAGATTTTATTTTAACAAATATTATCTGTGCGTAAAGTAATTTTGCCCTAATTTACAGAAAGAGTCGCACAATACGCAAATAAACACAAAGCAAGATTCTCTCTACGATATAAAAACACGAAAAATAATTTTCACAGCGAAAAATTCACTTAAAATCAAAATCACTTAAAATTAACACCTTTCACATATCTCCTTAATCTCTCCAAGTTTCAAGGGTGCGTTCGGAGCTATAATCAACTCCGTCCCTTCTCAAAGCCATAAATTTAATCACATCTAATTCCAACGTAACACTACCTTAAAAAAGAAAAAAAAGAAAAATAGAAGAAACGAAAATCAATAAAGATTGTATCAAGCAATTACACCAACAGACAGTTGGTTAACTATGCCGATGCTACTTGCCGCGTGTTTATCGTGCAAACTGAACTATCCTTTAGGATCGCGGAGATATATCTTGACGACTAACAGAGGAATACATAAGCTGTTAACTCTAGGAAGATTGATGGGGCGTTCCCTGTTCAATTCAATTCCCGATCGGTGAAGAGAAAAAGAACGACCCCCTTTTCTTCCCACGGTTAAACTCGGAAATATTTACCAGTTAAATACACACCAATGGGACGACGAGAGCGTGTAGGTGGTATTTATGCGATAAATATAATAACGATGTCATGCTTAGATTGCGTGACGCCACTGATTAAGGATGATCGAAGGAACAGTAAGTCGCTCGTTCTATTATGTGTATCGTATCTGAGAATGTACCCCGGCTAGGCGTGTTACAGTTATCCTGCTTTACGATGCAGATGTGATAATTTGATTTACCGTCACGTTAAAGCTAGAATGCTACTTCTATGAAATCGGATATCGCCACTTATTAGTAAGAAAATGCATACATTTCTCTTTCGGTGGAAGATCGTTGAAAGGAGATATACTCCTCGTCTAATTTCATGTCTTCCGAGGAGAAACGGGTTAGACGTCGTTTTCTTCGCGAATGAAATCGTTGGAAGCTTCTTTTTGCTGTTAATTTTAACTATTTTTTAAATGAAACGGTAGATTTTATAAGGGTTCTTAAACGTGCGTTTCTGAATTAAGCAAAAGCAAACTAAAATAAGGTTGGAAGCTAGTCGAAATTATATGGTATTTAATAGTGAAATAATTGACAAATTGCCAAGATTGTTTTACTGTTAAATGGCAGATCAGATTCGACAGTGAATCACGAATCACGATTAAATTCCACTGACCAATTTTTATACTCGAAATTTAACAACGAAACTGAAGTGGAAAACGTTTTTAAAGACCTCCTTGCATCTAGAAATGAGGAGTTTTCTTTTGAGAAAGACATAAACAACTTTGTTTTCTTATGGTCGAAGCGTATTGAAACCAGTGGATCATACTTTGATTAATAAATATCATTTTTACGTTTTATATTTTTTTTTGGTATAATCCCGACTAGAATTCAAAGATACCTCGTTCATTTTATCTGCAACAACCTAACACATCAGAAGAATAACACATTCAGCAAATAAAGTAAAAAAAAAAAACACTACAACTCGGAAATAACCGAACAAGTAATAATTTCAGTTTATCAATTCCCACCTTGCAATTTCTTTCACCGGTAAAGCCAGCAACCTAAATTACACGTGTGCACAGGAATCCTCTAAAATCCTGCATGATCCCGAACCACAGTCCGCAGCTTTACGCGACATCGTGTGCCAGCCAAGCTCGACGCATCCCCGGGCTAACGAAACGAAACTTGCACAGAATATGTGGTAACACTGTCCTCGTGTTAACAACAGAATATCGTAACAATTCTCAAACGAGCCTGCTGCCCAAAGTTCCATGGGCCCCGGTGCCCATTAGAAAGTCGTTTTCGAGCAACGAGAAGGCACATCCTCGCTGTTTAACAGCTTCGTATTATTCTGAATGGTCGGGTTCCGCCGAGACAAATTACCAGTCCGCGACTCGTGCTCGTTCGAATAATGAACGTCGTCGAGAGGTATAGTCGATGGAAGAAATATAGCGACCTCTGTGAAATTGGTCAAGCGTGGAAATTTGCGCGTTCGAGCGTATCGACAGAAATTCGAGGAGATCGGTATGACAAACTTCAATCAGAGCTACATACATGAAGTATTAAAGTACTATACACAGATGAGAAGATGGCCGTCGAGAGGCAAAAAGGACACTTCCTTTGCATCGTCTGACTTCCGTCACGCAATTTTACACGATTCGATTCGTCGTGAAGGATGTTATCACGTCGTAATAATTTCTAAGATAGTGTCAGAGAAGGTAGGACTTCTTTTCAGCTCTGAACAGTACCGTGCAGAGATCTATTCACTTCTTGCCCCTGAGCTGCCCTTCGTGCCCCTGAGCTGCCCTTCGTGTCCCTGAGCTGCCCTTCGTGCCCCTGAGCTGCCCTTCGTGCCCCTGAGCTGCCCCGCGGGCAAACTCCTGAGCACCGCACAGCACAGTGTCTCAGCTTTGATTCAGTCCTAATCGAAAACACGAGAACAGCTACATTTGCAGGATCGCGAGCCTTTTTTGCCTTCGCTGGTTCGTTTCTTGAGAAACGTGTGTGCGTGGTAGGAGTGTGAATGTCGGGAGAGAACGGAGAGGGTTCGTGTTCAAAAAAGCAAGAGTGCGAAAGGAGAATCAGTATGGGGTAAGATTTGGAAGAGAGCAGACTTTCAGTTGATAGCGTAAAACGAAAAATTGTGTCGAGAGAATTCAGTGTGTAAACAGCGTGCTTTATAGTTCACGTGAACATTTAATTTCCTTAATAAATTACTCTTATTATCATTATCAAGTCTAAATTTAAATCCCACGTGAGTGTTACCGCATCAATCGGTGCCGCTGTTTAACGCACGAAACTTACGACCTCGCCGATATTTCTTCCACCGACTATACGCGCAGAGTGCGTGTGGAACAGCGTGTTCCGAATACGGGCCCCTGTCGCCGCTATTTACAGCCTTGACTCGAGGCGTCTCTTAGGAACGTATCCTTTCCGCCGTGCAAAAAGGCCGACCTGTTTCCAAAACCCGTAATAAGTCTAAGTAGATCCCTACCACCGTGTGCAAGAAAGAGGCACGCCGCTACGATCCCAGGAGAGAACGTATACCAAGCAAAGGTGCTTTCACGAGGATGTTGCCGAGGACAGGTACGAGTCGAGCTGGCGAGAGAGGCTACGCGCGTGAACCCGACCATCGTGGATCATGAGTAGGGAGCGCCGCAGGGGAACTGTAAAGAGGGCTACCTCGGGCTCACGGACTTCTGTTTCTTCGACGCTGGATTA